CTGAGAAGATAAAAAAGTTGTCAAGGATTCTACCTTTTTACCTCATTGACAGTGGTTTCTTTGAAAACACGGAGCGGACAAACTGGTCAGTTCTTGATGCATACAAGGACAAACAAACGGGTGTACTTTTAGAGTCACATATTCCTTTCAACATTGAATACGCTGAAGGTATCATGCAACAAGAAGACGATAGCATGTAACTATTAAAATTCTGGTCTACAATATATGTGTAAGTTATTTTACAAATTTATATTATGTATTTGTTGTAGGGACTGCGGGTTATACATACCAACTTGTTATACCACCTGATATTGATGGCCATCTTGCAAATTATCTACGCAATAAATATGCAGCATTGTTATGGAGATACGGTAGCGACAAGGTCGATGGTGGATACATAAGTGAGAATGACGATCCACCAAATCCTAAGGGTCAATTCACAACACCAACTGAAGATGATATCGTTAACATAGATTAGTAATTAGCAGGGACAGTATGAAAAAGTTTTTATGTTGTTTTGTGTCGAAGACAATTATCTTTTGTGTTTATCTAAAAGCTTATTTGTATTACAATAGTTAAATAGTTATTAACATTATGTGTTTTCAAGGTATTGTTTTAGACACAGTAGTTGTTTTATAACGTTAAGGTACACAATTATTGTTTGAGTTCAAGTATTTTTGAAAGTTAATTTACAAAATGACGTATATGATACTTAAGTTCTAATGTGTATGATACATTATTGTTTGAGTTTAAGTATTTTTAAACGTTCACTTACAAAATGATGTTTATGATACATAAGTTCTAATGTATACATATACAAATTACAGTTATATATTAGCCACTTGAATTATATGAATGTATATGATACATTATATACATAAACAAACTAATCACAAATTACTATTACATTGAAACGCAGCACTGTTGAATATAATATATCAAAATTATAACTCATAAGGCAGTATACATGAAAACATATAGTAAACACTTGAAGAAGTCAAGTTTTGGACACTTGAATTTACTTAAATCGTCATTATGGTATTGAATCAATATTTTATTGATTTACACAATAAATATTGTTCACAGTATATGCACAGATTTATTTATCGAATTTGGAGTTTAAGTTTGGCACAAGTTTACCAACAAAGGCATATATTTGAACATCAGATTAAGTTGTGTAATCAATACACCTTATTTAGTCCAAATTCTAAAGAAAAAAATAGATATAAGTACCATGAACACTAATGTCCTACTTTAAAACATTATTTCAATTCTCTTTCGGGAAGAAAGTACAAGTTCTCCTGTTATGTCCTTCTTGTCCACATTGCCCACAAGAATTATTGTTCACTGTTATTTTCTCATCCGTATTTTTCTTTCTTCGCTTTCTTGGTCGTCCAACCAACCTTCTATACCTAGGTGGCCAGACAATTTCATCTAAAACATAGTCTGGAACGTTTCAATCCTCCTTATCTGGCATTGGAACCATTGCAACCTCGTATGTTTTTTCTAATGCATAAGTTATAGTAATCAGAGCAATATGGGTGCAAATTTGTAACATTCTTGTGCTTCAAAATTGCAATTGTGTGTGCGCAAGGTATCTCATCATGTTGAAACCTTCCACATGTGCAAGTTTTCCTCTCAAGGCATACAATGTATCTTCTTCCGACTTCATGAACTGAGAAAATATATTCAGATGATGGAACAACCTAAAAATATAAGAAGTTAGTGATACATTACGTAATATACAATTTATATATCATTTTCAAAACAACATTTATCATTGAAAATCAGTTTGTTTCTGATACATAAAACAGAAAATTAGGGAAATTGATAAATACCTTCATCTTTGAACTTTTAGATGCATTTACAATCAATATCTGCTCAAATCTTCGGCCCAATGTGTCCTTTGTATATGACGCTATTTCTCTATTTTTATAGTTTCAACTACCAAATAGAAGTCTAGCTTCTTCCAAGAAGTCTATTATAGTTAACTTACGTGCATCGACAAGGCATCCATTAATACACTCAGCGATGTTCGAAGTCATCATTCTACCTCTGTTTATGATTGAATGAACTCTTGACCACTTCTCATAACCGGCATCTTCAAGGTAATCCTTCACCCTATGATCAACTTTCACCACCTTAGCCATGAATTTTCAAAATCTTCCTTTCTGTATGCTTTTGCCATTGAGTAAAATATATCACTTAGTGTGTTTTTACTCCTTTTGAAGCTTGAACATACATTCTTCCAAAGATGTCATATGCATGCACGATGAGGTACATTTGGGTACCCAATGCTTACACTCTTTATGATACTTTCATTTCTATCTTATACAATACACTTGTTTTCATGCTCACCAAATGCATTTTTGAACTGTTCGAAGAACCATGTCCACGAACAGTCATTTTCAGTGTCTATAACACCATATGCCAATGGCAATATGCAACCTAATTACAAAGAAGCACACATTTAACTTCATGATACACAATGTTTACACTAAGATACATTTTAATAAAAATATAAAACAAGTTTTACATTACATCAATATTACAGCAGTCATACTTGCAGCATTGAGTGTGCTTGCTGATACAAAAGTACCCTTGTAAGCCCCGCCAAGATGTGCAGCGTCCACTACAACTACAGGCCTGCAGTAGTCGAACCCTCTTATCAACGGTCTTAGGGCTATGAACAAATACATGAATTTATTATCTTCCGTCTTTTGCATCCTTATATATGAATTTGGATACACTTTATTTAGCATCCATATGTATCTCGGCATCTGCTTATATCCTTCTGATGGCTTACCCTTGAGCATTTCTAGTGCATGTTCTCTAGCACGCCATACTTGTTGGTATGTTATCTCAACCCCATATAATTCTCTAATATCTTCAATTACATCTCGAGGGGTATGGATTCGTTTATGATTTACCAATTTAGGGGCAGTCACACCACTAATAAATTCAATTATTGCTTGTACTTTTGTTAGTATCCTATCCCGCATCGGACATGTATGTTCACTATTGAAATATCTCACTTTGAATACATCAGATTTTTTTCTACAAGAAGACTTTAAAGTCCATCCACATTGGTCGCTGAAGCAAACCAACACATAGCTGTCCAAATTTTTTTATTGGTTTGATTCATATAAGAAAAGCAATGTTATAATTATCACAACGAAATATATACTAATTATATTATGTATCAGACACAATATAAATAGAACTGTACTAGAGAAAAACAATCAAATTAGAGAGAAAGCATTCCAATACCTTTTCTTATCTGATCTTTTCACTCGAAAATTGAAGTTGTTCTTTACTTTATATTTAGTCATTACAGCAATGAGTGTTCCTTTATCCTTATACAATTGTCCCGTCTTCACATCAGTACTATTGGAATCAGTTATGTAATTCGTAGCATTTAATTCTGGAATCTAATCAATGTCACAAATTCTCGACTCGACCAGACCAAGAGCTTCAGTATCTCTTTTGGTACCTTCCACGCATACGACCTCACCTGATGAACAATCCAAATTAAGTATCTCCCCAACAATTTTATCAGTTGTATCAATACAAAGCGGATACATGCCGATTCCAGAAGCATTCTTTTTTACTTCCAAATAAAGTTTCACACTCATGTCGTTCTTGATTTTCAATGGACATGAGTTTCCCTCAATAATGTATCGGATTTCAATATCCTTTGTAACAGTGTCGATCTCAAGCTCTGATAAAATCAACGCTTTCAGATTCACAAATGAAATGGAATGTCCAACAACAATTCCATCAACCTTGTAACCTTCATAATTAACATCGCTTACCCAAATTCCAGAATGTCGCAGCAGAATTGAGATATTCATCTTTTAACCTGCTTTTTTTTATTTCTTAGAATGCAGATCAACTTTGTCAGGAATAATTTCGATTTATGAAGCATTTCAAATTTGAATTTATCAATCAGTTACGCAAGCTGTCGAGCGTTAATTACGTGATTACAGTTAATAATAACAAAAATTACGTTATATCTTTCTAATTAACCGCAACAGATGACAATTCAAAATTACGTTATATCTTTCTAATTAACCGCAACAGATAACAATTCAGATGTATCACACGTAATGTATCCCGTGCTTTTCAAGATGTATCCCGCAAACTTCATTTTTAAGGGATTTTTGGTATGAAAAGGGATAAAACGTTATTTTGTATTTATAATATGTGGTTCCTATAATTTATACTATATAGTTATACTTCATCCGTCCTATTTCATGTGGCCCTTTTTATTTTAATTTGTTCCAAAAAGAATATCACTTTACAAAAAATATTAAAGAAAAGAAAATGTTGGTATGAAATCAATTAATAAAATTTTAAAATTTTATATGAGTTAGGAATTGGATATGACTCATTACTTTGTTCATTTTGAGGTCGTTTCATATCAACTAGAGAAAGCTTTGAACAGTTAGCAGTCCTTTCATTTATCTATTTTGATGGAATACAAATTTTAGCTCAAATCATTTCGATGTAGTTCAAATTTTAAACTAACTCGCTCATCTATCACCTTCATTCTTTTCAATATCTAACTATATTTCATACCATATTAATTTAATTTTTAAGATATTTTTTATTTTTTAAATTAATTTATCTTTTCAATTTTCAAAATTATCTTTAGAACATTCTTTCAACTCGTTCATTTATCACCTTTAAATTTATCACCTCCTTTAAATGATCTTTTCTATTGCATAATTATTAATTGTCTCAATTGGAGTTAAAAGTACATCAAGATTTCGTATGCTTTACTCATATTGCCTTTGATATTCATATCCTGGATCTTGACACTTCAATAAATTTAACAAAAATTAACAAGGGTAAAAATAAAAAATACGTTCAATTTTATTTCTTTATCTGCTTTTCTTAAAAAGCGTGAATCACTTCAAAATTCAATTAATATGAAATGGAAGAAGTAAAACTTGTTTTTATATAAAATTTGATAAATATAAATTTGAAAAAAAAAATGATATTCGTAAAAAATTCAATATGACATTTGAAGATAATGATGTCCATTCTACGTGTACTTTGTACATTTCTCCACCTGTCAAGCAGCATTGGCCATGCTACCCTTTATATGATAATCTTCTAGCCATGCATCATCTCCTTCATAAACCCTCTTTTATATGATAATCTTTTAGACATATGCATCATCTCCTTCATAAAACGCACAAGGAGTAATTCAAGGTAATATGTGTTTTTTGTTTTTTTTCACCTGCCACACAGATAACGTCGTCTTCATCTCGACTAAACTGCTTCTGTTATCAATGTTTACTGCCTAATTTACAAGATGGTACTAGCAGAAATAGGTTCAAGTTTTGGTTAAATAAAATATGGATTACTTAACAGTAGGTCAGAAGTGTGAAGCGTGGGTTGACAACAGCAACAGCCACTACATAAAGAGACTTGAAGCACAACACTGCAAATGTGTTCTACATTCTGTTAACTTGGTGCAACATTTATGATCGATACCAACTCCGTCCTAAGATGCAACACAACACTGCATGACATTAGATACTGACGAAATATGAAAGGTGATTTAGTTACAATCATATTCAAAAAGAGAATCAAGACGGTTTATAATACAAGTAACATACGATTTTTCCTCTTCAAGGAGTGTGTGCTATCAGCCATATTCATCTTGCCTCTCTACAGCTCTCCTTTCTTCTCCTTCTCTAATTCTGAACTTCTGCAGACAACAGTGACCAAAACATGCAAGAAAGAACCTCCACAAAATCAAGTAGAGATGACTATCAAAGACCAAGTGTAACAGTACCCAGTAAAATATTTTAACTGCTATTTATTTGCATGTCTTTCAAGCACCACTGTTGAACATCCATCTCCCATTTCATAGCCCTTAAAACATTCCAGAATAACAGAATCACTTCAAGTAGCTACAAAACTATCAATTTATCCCTAGTCTGGACTGGTTACAGATCTATTTCCTTGAAATATGTCCCACCCACTTCCCTGCTGCTAGTAGATGAGCTTCCAGGCTTATGAATCTAATGTTCCTGCCTCAAACCCCAATTCATAGGAAAAAATATGACCAAACGTGGTTACAAGCCTTTACTCTTCTATTTCCAGCCCCTTCTGGAAGGCATTTGCAACCAGGTTCACCTGCTCTTTCTGGTCTGAACAATTCGAGGGAGTGGGTGGGGGTTATGGTTTTAAAAAAAAGTTGAGTGTCACAATCAGGGTCTTCACCACACCCTCCATCAAAAATAAATATCATTACAAGAAAGAGAAGAGTCGCTAAGTGAAATTTCAAGACTCAATGCAAGTTACTAAAATTAAACAAATGAAAATGTCAAGACTTCTCCCAGTTGCAAAGATTCAAGGCCAAGAGTTTATACATCTCTTTTGCAGAGGGACAGTTGAAAGAATGACAGCTTTGCAGTTTGGATTACAAACCAAATAGGGTTTATAATGCCACCAGAACACAAAATAAAAATTAATCAACAGGGGTGGAGATATAACACTTAGCTCCTCCTGGTATTAATCAACTTACAGAAATCCATGTTGCAACAAACCAAGAAATACCCAGTTTGCCTCTTAAAGAATGTAAGAGGAAGATGGTAACAGCAAAACAATTTGTCATCTTTCCACATACAGAAGATTTGAAAGGAAGTATCAAAAATCAATGCAGCCAGACCAATTATAGGCTCAAAATAAGAATCCCCCATCTAAAAAAGAATGCAAAAGATATCAAAACTTAAAATTTGTACATCTCTAGCAGATGAGGCAGTAAGTACCTTTACTGGCTTGAGCAGAGAATACGATATCTGAAGTATGGAAAATAAATTTGAAATTCTATGTATGCCAGGTTGTAGATAAGCTCCTCAACCTGCTTTCCTTGATACTGCAGTGACATTTATAGATTTTAATTCTACATCAAAAACTGAAATATTTCCCAACATAAAATACAAAAGAAACCAAAAATGTAGACCCGTTGCCTGGCATGCAAGCCAGAAGGAATATGGATTTCCATGTTCTCAAAAATGAAATAGAATAAATCGTAATACAAAAGTCAAAGAAACAAAGAATGGAAGCAACATACAAGGCACTACCTATATATGGAATCATGCTAAAGGAAAACAAATGCTTCAAGGAATGAACTCGCTATTTAGATAGTGTCGTAGCAAGAAAAATGAATCGACATTTCCTTCCAAACGGAGAAAATATAAAATAAATTTCATGTAACAAAGTCATTAGTACTTTCAAGATCAGGCCTTGTTTCATCTTGCTTGACAAAACTTTGTTTAAAAGAAAGCGGGTAACGCTTTCAGCCAAAGAAAATGGTTGGTCTTTCAGCCTAAGTACAGCATATTGAAAGAAACAACTTAAACCAAAATCTTATGTAATAATGTCATCCATGGTTAACTTCCATTATCAGCATTCCACCTAGCAGTAACTTCAGAACCCCATGTAGATAAGAGAGGTAACTGTAGTTGGTCCCTAAAACATGAGATGATTCTGAAACAAATCATACATATAAAAAAATAATCGTGCAGCTTATTCATAATATCACCATATAACCTTTAAGCGACTTCGAAAATGTCATCATGACTTCACATCACATTTGAATGACATCACTAAGACGTGTACAGAAATATGTAGTAATTCACTACTAAGGGTTGTCCCAAAAAACAATGGACCATGTGATATTTATGTGCCCTAATCCCCATGTAATATTTACGTGTCCTAATCCCCATGTGATATTCATGTGCCCTAACCCATTGTGATACAGACAATGATGCGCAAGCAGCCCATGCAGATGGAAAGGGCCAGAAGAAAAGCATGGAAGTACATAATAATCAGGAGTCAAAGCTGAGAACATGGAGAGCAGTAAAACATTCAATGTTGACGGGAAAGCATATATGTCATCCTTGATTACAATCCATGTATTCAGGTCCAATAATTACCTTCATATGTGCTATAGTTTCATTGAAATTCTTCATCAATGAAAAAGCTAAGAATTCCCCATCAGCTTTACACCACCATTTCTTGCAAACAGAATATGAAAATTAAAATCGGCATACTAGAAATACGAAACCAATCCATATGTTTTAACAAAATCAATTTCAAGATCATTGTTTACACTGCCAATGGGTAATATGTTACACACACGAGTTTCAATTGAAACTGTTCCTTAACAGGTAAGCTCACTATGCCACCCATGCCATGCAAGCAGGCCCAGAGATTTTGACAAGACACCAGAGCCAAGTAGGTCAACCTGCAACAGATCTGATAACGCATAGCCAAAAGAATTGTTTCTTGATCTAATTGTCAGATAAGCCTGCTAAAAAACAGCTGAACTGATCGTCTAGCAAACAATTTTTGCAACTTCCTATAAGTGCATTGCTCTAGCCTCAAACCACGTCAACCCATGAGTATTACAGAAAGCAAAACTCAAACAGTTACTGAGCACTATTCACTTATCTTAGCCAAACAATCCACCAGTTCCCAACACCCCTTGCTTCAGTTCCTTTCTTCGCTGCTCCTCAAGAGGATCTGGACTCTTCATTACTCTTCGCACACGCCTAAAAACAACACAAAGAACATCAAATAACAGTCCAAGGAGCTAAACGAACTCCCATCTGAAGATTAGCACTGAAAGAAGATTTACCTATCTTGTGCATGCTGTGCAGGGAAAGTAGGCATGAATTCTTTAGACTTGGGGAGAGGAACTTCACGAAACCACTCATGGTTCAAAGCAGCATCGGCAGATATCCTCTGCAATATGTCATATAAACATCAATATCAGAAGAGGTAAAAACAACATAAAAAGGAATTTAGAAGTTCCCAAATGTTATTGCCATCACCTTCGCAGGATCATAAGTCAAAAGCTTATTCAACAGGTCAAGGCCAGACTCTGATAGGTCTGGTTTTCCCATGTAAGATGTTGTAGGGCTTTGAAATTTATTTCTTAAATTATTAAACCTGTTACAAACAAATCAAATAGTTAGTAAAAACATGAAAATATTTCTCCAGCATAGATTGTCATCAGAGGAGGCCAGAAAGCCAAACCAGAATCACCCAAAGCTGGAAGCCTGGGAAAACAGCGGCAAAAACAAAAACATGAATCTCTGGCCGACAGGAGAAGCAATAGAATATATAAGAAGATAATACTTACTGATGCTTTACAAAGTTGACCTTCACCCCAGGAAGCTTGGAAAACCCTGGCCAAATCATCTCATTAGGGGTGCCAAGAATTCTGAATATCTGGTAAGAAAAACAACAGAAGTATATTATGAAGACTTCAAACTCATGGTAAATGTCATCAAAAATCAAGTAATTCTCCATCAGCAGCTAGAAAGATACCTTGTCAATTTGATCAACTTCTGTTTTCCCATTGAAGAGTGGTTCTTTGCATAGCATCTCGGCCATAATACAACCCAGTGACCACATGTCAATTGCAGTAGAATATTGCTTGGCTCCCAACAGAAGTTCTGGCGCCCTGTATCCATAAAAAACTAATCAATCACTGGCTAAATAGAAGCCAGCTAGGCGAGAACTCAATAGAAACGTTTATCTACATACAGACACACGACAATAAAAGTTTTGAGTATCTACTTGCATCTTTTCAGATTAATGAAGAATAAAAAAATGAAACTCACCTGTACCACAAAGTAACCACCAAATGAGTGTATGGTTTCAAGGGGCTCCCATATTGACGAGCTAAACCAAAGTCACAAATCTTCAACTCACCTTGGTTGTTCAGAAGCAAATTTGAAGTCTTCAAATCTCGGTGAAGGACCCAATTATCATGAAGATACTTGACACCATGCAAAAGCTGGAGCATAAGACATTTGACTTCACTTTGGGTAAATGGTTTTTTCATTGTCTCCATCAATGCCTTCAGATCATGTTCCATGTACTCCATCACCATAAAAATACTGTCAAGACTGCTTCCAACAACTACTTCTTTGACATCTACAATTGAGGGGTGATGAAGAGAAAGAAGAATGTTAATCTCCCTGAGAGATGTTAGGGGGAATCCTTCTCGTTCCTTCTCCATCTTAACCTTCTTTAGTGCAACAATTTCTCCCGTCTTCTTATCTTTAGCTCGATAAACAACCCCATAAGTGCCTTCATCTATCCTGTTAAGCCGCTCGAATTCATCGACACTTCTACACCCCTGCAGCATGTTTACGCTCCTTTGTGGAGGAAGCGCAGCCTCCGGTGTACCACGAGAATCATGTTCATCTTCAGATTCTGTATCTGACTGGCTAACACTAGCCCCATCATAATTGCGGTCCTTATCCACATCCATTGGGCCATTCTTATCTAATTCATTGCCCTGGTAACTCTCTCTGCTGCAAGACCTAATATGTTCATCAGAGTCTGAAGACCTCGTTCTATTTCCTCCAGAGCTTTCTCTCTTGAGCTCCTCATATTCAGGAGTTAGTGATTTCCTGCGTCCACCGATTTCGGCCAAGTGGGGAACTGCTCGTCGCTTCTTCAGTAGGAGCATATCATCACCTGAAATCTCACCTTCATCAGCTGGAGAGTCAGCATCAGTTGCCCATCGAGATGATCTTATAGTCGGCACGGGCACATATTCCTCATCTTCTACTTTCCTGGCTTCCTGACTGGGCAATTGCTTCTCATCAACAGGTGGAGAACATATGTCAACTGGGGATTCATGAGATGCATCCATAAGTAAACCAAGTGCTGTATTTGTATTACTTGGGGATGGCTCTATAATGTGAACATTATTAGTGTTCAACAGAGAGACCTGCTCAACCCTTTCCGAGGGGAAATTAGCCAACTGGCCAGATGACTTTGGCAATGGAGGCGGAGGAGGTAGCTTAGCAGCTACTGGTGAATTTCTACTCTTTGACATTCTATTCACTTCCTTATCTTCCCTATCCCATATAATTGGAGAATATTTCCGTTTCTTGCTCTGTACAGAAGACTGATTCCCATTGGCAGCATACTTGGTCTTCTGGTCTGACTCAATAGCCCCATCAGACCCACTCTCGCTAGACAATTCCCCAGGCTCTCGGTCAATAGCCCCGACTCTAAGCCCACTTCTCCTCATTCCACCAGCATCACCATCACTACTACCAGAATCACTCCTGCTTGAACCGGACCTATAACTGCCATTCATCATATCCCTTTCTTTTATAGGCTCTCGGTCAACAGCTCTGACACTAAGCCCACCACTTCTCCTCACTCCACCACCATCACCATCACTGCTACCAGAATCACTCCTGCTTGACATGGACCTAAAACTCCCATTTATCATATCCCTTTCCTTTACATCCTTCTGTCTCAACCTACCCCTATCTCGACCACCCCTGTCATGACCTCTATCCCTATCAAAATCCCGATCCTCAGACCTAATTCTTTCGTAATCGCCCTTGGAGTAACCAAGCTCCCTCCGTGAAACCTCAAACTCAGCCTCACGCCCCCTAAATTCATTATCCCTGTAACCACCATGTCTTCCAGCAGCCATGTAAACGTCCGTATCAAATGAAACCCTAAATTCACCTATAAACCCTAACCCTAATTTCACAATAAAATCAGCAAACCCAACAAACCCTAGCTCGATGAAAAATCGAGTTATTTGAAAACTCAAAAGCAGATCTGGTAAAAACTAATCAAAAGATATAAAAATCAATGGAAACTTTTTTCCCTAATTTTTTTTTTCCTTTTTCTCGAATAGATTGAAAAACTCTAATACACAACAGATACAGACAGCGAAGAAGCGAAACCCCTAAGAATTGAAGACTTTAGGATAAATTTACGCTCTTCCCGGCACGTTGTAGCTAAGATCGGAATACTTACCGGCGAATCGAAGCAACCAGACACGACGGCGGCGACGAAGCTTTATAAGAGAGCGAGGGAGAGAGAATATGCAAATTCCCAAATACGAAAGCGTAGAGAAAGTCCCAGACCGCGTAAAGAGGAGTTTTAAGATTAGCTTCGACTTCAAGTATGTTAAAATTGCAAATTAGACCCTCTATGTTTATCAAACTGTTTATAGGAATTGAGAGAAGGACCATGCTGTTTCTTACATGTTTATTTAGCACCACAAAATCTTTGCCACAAGTTTAAATTTCATTAGGTAATAGATATTTTTCCTTTTTTATCAAAAAGACATAATACATAAATATACCCTTTAATTTTTCGTTATTTTATATTTATATCCTCCAATTTTGAGTAAGCATAAATAGACATTTAAACTTGTATAAAATTGAATAAATAAAAATACACGTCCTATGTGGCATCTTATATGACTTACGTGGTATTCTATGTGTATTGTGTCACATAGGACTAATGTATTTATTTATTCAACTTTATACAATTTTAAACATCTATTTGTGCACACCCAAAGTTTGAGGATATAAATGTGAGATGAGACCAAGTTAAAGGACATATATATGTATTATGCATCAAAAATATGGAATTTAAGACTATACTAATATGTATGGGAAAAAACTCTTAAATATATTTAATTTTTTGTCAAAATTTTTGTAACAATCTCAAACTTTAGGCGAATGTATTTTAAAGATATATAAGTGCTCATTTGCACAAGTTACTATTTATAATGATATAAATTTATGATGTCCATATATACACATATATATCTTTAAAATACACTATTAAATAGCGCAATGATAACTGAAGGGTATCATTCTAACCTAACTAATTTAACTGAAGTGTCTGCGAAACTATGATTCAATTAAGGGTTCAAATTACCATAAGAGAAAGGAGCTATACGTATTTTAATTAAGATTCACAGATATGAGTTAACTCTCAACCATATCTCATATATTTTATGTAAAGGTTCATACGTAGCAAACAAAGTTTATTCTTTAATTATTTTAATTAACTAAATTAAGTGATAAAACAAATATAAACAAATAAGGCATTTATAATACAAATAAATAACATAAATACATTGAAGAGATGAGCAAGGAGACCAAAAAAAACACAAATAGATTGGAGAAAACATTTTTTATTCATAAAACTACCCTAAATATATACCCGCAAAATATTTAAAAAACCTAAATTAAATTAATCCTTTTAAATTAACGCTCGCCTTATTCGTGTTTTTTAAAGACAAATCAAAATTTATCTTTTCTCTTCTCAGGTCAACTTACATTATTTCTAACAAGGGCCTAAATACCATATCATCCAATTTTCTAAGTTTATTTTTTATTTAGCTCCTAAAGCGATTCAAAAGAAAATAATAAAACTAACATCCTAAAAAGGTACCTTGTGTCTTAGCTTAATGTCCAAAAAGCATTGAACTACTAGATGATAGGTTTAGACTTAAAGAAAATTCAAGAAACCTAATTAGACACGGAAGCGTCAATCAAAACATATTTGATGAGCACTTAAAGCACATAAATCTCATATTAGCCTCTAAATTAGTTATTAGCATGCTAGCAAAGACACGTAAATAGTGAAAAATTAATGCATTATTGTGTGTGCACACAAGCATTTTAGCATAACATGTTAACTAATTTTAGAGAGGACATGTAAATATAACATGCTGAGTTTGACATTAAGCAGAAACTAGTCAGAAAATTGTTGGACCTTATTAGTTTTTAACTGTTGAAAGGTCGGCTAGTAATTGCTAACATGCTAGAAATAAATCAGAAATTATATTTAATTAAATATTAGCACACTAAAAATTATTTAAATCCTATAGACATAATTTAATCAATTAAACAAATCGAACCTAATATACAATATTTATGCCTATTTATTTTTGAACACTATTAAATAGCCATAATATCTATTGCTTGTTTAACATGCTAAGATTGTTTAAATCTGATTAATCAATGAAATTATTGATCGGACCCTAAACATGATATCTAACCAATGTAGCATTCTTAAATTAATTACAACCTACAAACATGATTCCCAAGTTTGAACATGCTAAAAAATATTTTCGGATAAGAATTCATACACGACAATTGATTATTAGCATGCTGAAAATATTAATATCATGTATGCATGAATTTCCTATACTCGAATAATATTTTTAAAATATAAGTAATTCTTATAGACATGATTTCAAAATAAATAATAAATTGAAATAATTAGTTTAAACTTCGATGCACGTTTTTCTATTCTCAAATAATACATTAAAATTGATTAGATCTTAATTGAGGCATAGTATATAAACAATTAACAAAACAAAACTTTAACAAAATTTATAAGCATGATTTCACAACCAAGAGTAAGATAAAATACTTGTTTGAAGCTTATTATATTATTAGGTTAAAATTATTTAATTCTTATAGACATGATGTCTAGTAAATTAAACAATCTGTAGTTGATATAATATTTAAGCACAAATTATACTAATATCCTGAAATTTTAATATGTAGCTATAGGTACAATTCGATTGATTAACATGTTGAGATTATTATAATTTGATTAATTAAACTAATTAACTAACATGTCGAAATTATTTATTTTTTTTTTAAAAGACAAAGGCATAAACATATAAAAGTTGGGTTTTCATCAGATTGTTATAATTTGACAATCATATAAAAAACGGTTTTAAACATGATGATAATAACATTAAATTCAAGTAATTAATCAATGCGAGCATATACCTATATCATACACATTTATAATTAAAATAAAGTAAAGATAGATAGCACATAATTCACCTCCCCATAGGTGGTAACTTTTTTTAAAAAAATTATATATATAATTGATTAAATAATAATATATTTGATTGTACCCTTGTAATAAAAAGACGCCTAGTGTATTGATCAAAGTTGTTATTTCTGACCGCGACTACGTGAGTTCGAATCCCACGAAAGACTTTTTTTTACTTTAAAATCATTTTGCATTGTAATAAACTTTTTTAAAAAATTGCCGCCTCGACCCTCTTTTTGAAGAGGAACTGCTTCTCCAGGATACCCAAAAAAAGTGGGAGGTGTCTGGGCTCGTTCCTCCCGATAAAATAGAAAGGACAACCGGTGTTGAAGGTCGACCCCACCCTCTTTTTGTCATCTCATCTGGCCCAATTCTTTCTTAATTGAATCTAAAAATAAATAGAAGCTCTAACACAGTTCTAAACAAACTATAAAACCGCTAGAAAATCTACAACTTAGAAGTATTTTTCACTACATAATTAAAGACTTACTCGCGTTATCTTGCACAAATTGATAAGTTCTTTTCTATAAGCGGATTTTTTTGTAAGAATTTGTTGTTGATTCTTGTGATTTGAAATTGAAAGATTTTGGACGAAACATAAGTTTTCTCAACCAAGTGCTAGTTTTAGAGACAATTCTTCGCATTATATAGATGAGTTTGATTTGTTATCACTTAAATTGAATCCTAGAGAAGAATATCCATTGATTAATATAGGTCTGGAATACGAGATAAAGTGAGAAGACACTATATTCAAAGTGGACCTTGTCAATCAGATTTTAATGATAATGAATATCCTCGAATTAGATTCGAAATGAAAATACGTCGATTTTGTAAGACATGATGTAAGGGTTCATATTCTAGTTGGTTGGAGTATAATGTGAAGAAAGATATAGTATTTTTCTAACCTCGTCCTTGAGTCAAATTATTGGGGCCTCAGAAATATGGAGGCCAAAGCAGGGCGCTTTGATTACTTACTCTTTAGTCATTCCTAGCCTTACCCTTGAGCCTCTCTTAGTGGTACCCTTCTATCTTCAAATCCTCCTTACCCTTGAGTCTCTCTTAGTGGTACCCCCTATCTTCAAATCCTAAATTCGCTTCTCCCTCCCCCTTTAAATGGTTCCCCAAGTTATTTCATATATGTATGGAGTAGATGGAGTTTACAAAATTATTACAAAAATTGAAATATAAAGTAATAATATTAATACATAAAAGTCTAAGCAAAACTAATTCCGTCCGAAATTCTGTTCCCAGGCGAATTCTTCGACATCTTGAACCTTATGTTCAAAATCGTGTTAAACAAAAGGGAGATAACGACTAATATACAACACATAAAGACAGTCTAATATAGCAAGATATTAATACTAATTTTACATGCATCAACGTAGCACATAATATTAATTATTTCATATACATAGGCAGAAAACAAACATACAAGAACTCACACAAGTAACGAAGAGTATAAAATCACACACAAAGCAAGAAAGGATTAAAAAACTGACTCATATACTTATTTATTTATTTATTACGAATTAAATTAACTAAATTAAATTAAATAGTACATTAATGCAAAACAAAAATTAAGTTGAATAGAAACACTAACCAGTTAATAAGAGAGAATAAGTCGGCAGAAACAATCCAATCTGATGCCCAACTTGTATCAATGGACCCAAAGAGAGAACTTTTAAAACCATTTATTAGAAATGTTATAATCTTTTGGAGTTGAGAGTATCTGGTTGTCACTTAAAGCGTCTGTAAATAGTGAGAATGAAGTTACTTTGTATAGTAAATAGGAGGGTACATAATAAAGGAAAATAAATAAATCTTGAGATCGATTAAATATTTTTCTTAAACAAAATAAAGAGTAGAATCAGTCAACATATTTTTTCAATACCAAACACATATTTAACAAAAATAATATGCAAAATCTCTTTTCCCTTGACTAAGGGTTGTAAGTCAATTAACAAACTATCAATTAATATTATACATCATCAATGAAAGAGATCTATTATTTAAGGAAAGACAGTAACATACAACTTAAATCAAGTATACACTTTCATATACTACATTCTAGTATCCGTACCATATCCAAGACAAGTAACAATTTAAACAGATTCTAAATAAAGCAATGAAATTATGAACAAATGACGAAATCCTATTTTACAAGGATACCATAAATGAAGGGAATGAAAATCAAAGTTTGAAATAGTTTGAAGTCGGACTAGATTACAACATAATAGTAAATAAAAACCATTCAAT